TAAACAAATTATCATTTGGTGTTATTACGTTTTTCAGTTAGCATGAGTGTGACGCGCAGTTAGTGTAGACTATTAAAGCGTTTCACATTAAATGTTACAACGCGCGGATGGATTTTCACCGTATACCTGTTTAAGCTAACGTTACGTTACTAACCTTACGTTTACCCTAAGGTACAAAAGACGTATCTCGTTTTCATTCGCGGCAAGACCCAACCATACACTGCGAATGTGACAAAAACATTCAAACGGGACCCCTTACATGGGACGTTTTTCACCATCCAGCCACAACGTCATTACTGCCGACTTTCATCTGTTTCTGCATTTGAAATCTTTCTTTATGGGTCAACTCTTCAACAACGATAAAGAGCTGAACAAACATGTGACCATATGGTTGACAACATAGGTGGCAATATTCTATAAAGATGGAATATAAAAACTTGTATCGAGCTATGAAAAAGCCTGGAACAAAAGCCACTGGAGCTATGTTGTAAAATACTGTAAGGATTTCAGAGCTTTGTGGAATAAATAGCTATACTGGTTTCTTTTTTAATACCAAATGGAACTCACTTTCCGAACATACCACGTACACATATACTCGTATATATATAGCAATATTTTTGTATAGCTATATTTTTATGATAAGCTGAATATTTTCAAAGATAGTTAAAAAAAAAAAAAAACTGAAAAATGGCTAATAAAATTCAAGATGACGGACACTTTCGGACTTTAGAGTGATAGTGCCGTATTTTTGATTAATCGAAAACCCACAGCCAAACTTTCAGCAGAGTTTCAAAACTTTCAGATTTAATTACGTAAAATGCCTTTTTCGGAGCTTAGATGACTGGACAATGATAATAAATTGTAATAATATCACGTTTTAAATACTTAAAAATAAATAGGAAATTGTTCCAGGCTCGTAGGGGAGATGAAAATCAGCCGACCGCCAAATTCAAGTGGCCATAACATGAAAAATTTTATTCATGTCTCATTAAATATATATTAAATAATACTATTTTTATTTTGCATATTTTTGGGATTTAAAGAATATATATTCATATTTCAGTACATTTTTGAACTTTTTTCGAATAATTTAAACTAATGCATAGATAAACAATAAATCATCGACCTGTATAATTTTTTTTGTCCTAAGTATTTTTCTACATTCAATTGTTATCACATTAAAAAAAAAAAAAATAGTAATAATAATAACAATTACCTATATCATAGGGTAACGCTCATACTGTAAATTAGTATAAAACATAAAAATAACGATTAATGGAAATCAAATACTTGTATTGATTCTAATTTTTAACACCTAAGGTAAAATAAATTTTACTCTGTTCATTTTGGTTTTTTTTTTTCGGTTTTTTTTTTTTTTAGATGAAATGCATTTTACAATTTTTTTTAGCGCATGTTTCGAACGAACATTTGTTTGGTCGTGTTTTTCTATTTGAAGTGCATAAACATCCCAGCTCTGATTTACCGGTACGTGCAGGAGCGGACACGAACCGACCCGGGTATCGCGACGAACGAGTACAACGTAATCGCGTCGTCGTAAAAGCCGAAGACGAGTCGGTTCGTCAGAATATCGGTCGCGTTACATAACCGGTGGTCGCGTTCGAGGGCGCGGACTAAGACGACGGTGACGTGCCGCTTTAGAAAGGACTGATTTCCCAGAATCGTTAGGATTACGTTGCCGCATGACCGTCAGCGTACAGTCATCATTAGGCGCTATCCATTATAATAATAATAATTTGTTTAGTGAAAAATGTACAATTTACGCATATGCAAAGATAATTGTAACTTGACACTTGTTCGCAACTCCCCTATAAGCGTAAGTTTGTGTTGGATGGGGCGTAGGGGAGCGGAGAACCCCAACTGATTTTCAGAAATATTAGCGTCCCCCTGATATTATTACGTTATAATTATATAAAAAGTCTACGTATATGAAATCTAAAGTTTTCAGAAAAGATTTGAATATACAAACGTATTTGAAATTATAAACATTAGTATTGAGCTGTCTACATATCTGAATAGCTGCGGTTACAGAACTTTTTAGACATAATTGCTTTTTAGATACTCTAATAGTAATATTCTCTTTGTATCAAGTATTATACGAGTGATTAACTATTATATTATTACTATGGCTGTTATAATCGCTACAACTCGACAAGAACTTTCGTGATTACAGCAAATCCCTTAGCCGTTCAAGGGTTCCTGTCGTTGTAATTAGCATCTCCTAAAACGCGGTACACGCGAAACACGTGTTGACGTAGGCGTGAAATCGCGACCGTTTGGTGATCGTCGATAACGTTTTATCGGTTTACACCCGTATCGCGTCGCGTTACGTTGCAAAGCTATACAAAGTTTGGAGTCTTGAGTAAAATTCATCAACACTACTTCAAACTGTTTTTTTTTTTTTTTTTTTTTTTTTTTTTTATTTATTTATTTTGTAAAGTAAATCACTAGGCCGATTTCGTTTTAGTCGACGGGAAGGATTATCAGGGAGAGTATTAGAGGAGAGGTTTGAAATTAGCGGGTTTGAATAATTATTTGTATTAGAATAAAACTTTTTACAGCGTGCAGAAGCGAGGGTGAGAAGAATTGAAATATTCAGGTCTTTATAGATTATGTGATTGCTAACATACCAAGGTGAATTTTTCAGGAGGCGGAGACTAATCGACTAAAACTGCAACGGATAAAAGTATATCTTTGTCGATGTAAAATTTTTAATAAACGTTTTACGCTTTTCTCGCGCCACTAGACACGTATTTGGAGTTTTGACGCGCCAGGTAAATTTATTATAAAAATCGTACTGTGCAAAATCTTTAAATATTAAAATTTTTCGATTGACAAATGAAAATGGTTAATGGATTATGGTTACAAAAAAAAAAAAAAAAAAAAAAATTGCCACCCGTTAATCCCGAAAAAAATTCGGACAAACATTTCTCAAGTGTAAGAATTTGAAATTTCGTAAAATCATAAAAAAAGAGACGTACTCGAAAAATCATTCTGTACGCATACCGTACGTATTCGCACTAATTGGAGGTATATCTGTTTATTTCAGATGGCGTTCATCAAACGGTTCTGTTTTTGGAAACAGTGCTGACGGCGGTTTTCACGCGCTGGACAATTTTCCGCCGAACACCGCGGTTCGTTCTTGGCCGCAGACCGCGGAAACCGTTCACGAAATATCTCGTTTGCGGTGGGAATCGCGAACAAACAGGCACGTTTCGAACAAAACGCTTTCGATCACAACCGTATGCCCTATACTACGATGCACTTTTTTTTTTTTTGCGCTACACCCGTACTTCTCGCGCACTCGTTTCGCGCGCTTTACGACGAGAACACGATAATTCGTAACGCATTTTTTTTTCTTCAGGAAACATATTAATGTTTTCACATTTTCTACATGTTTTTTTCTCTCTCCGACCATTTTAGGCTGTTTTCGAGAATTCAAGTGGTTAATGAGCCCAAAATCCGAATTTATAACATTATATCACGTTTTTCCACGCTAACGTGATTTATACATAAATATAACACACTATCAAGAAGGCACACTATCAGCCGTTTATTTTCATTGTTTCACGTGTACAGTGTATATTAAAACTTATCCGTTAGAATTGTTGATTTGTATTCTGATTGGTTGTGTATTTCAATACGAATAATTTATTATTTTCCGTTTTAATTACTGACCACCTAACCGTAGAGTAGGGTGACCATATTAAGAAAATAAAAAAACGGGATAGCTGTTATTTCCCCCTCAAAATAAAAAAACCTCATACATATATATTCACACATATGCACACAAATCTCAAGTCCAAATATCTGTCATATCATAAACAATTATTTTCATTTTACTTTGCCCTTTTTTAGTAAAATAACCTAAATAGTAAAATATTTTCTTTAATTATTATTAAATTATTAAATCGGTAATTTTATAGTTCGTCGGCATCGGGAATTGACGCTCGTTCCACGAAAACTTTTATCTGTTATTTCTAAATTTGGTTTCACATTTTAAATATACGAGTAAAACTGTTTTATATTTTTTCATACATAGATATTTTATTTACAAGCATTGATAAAATGCATATAATAAATACTATGGCAATAACGGGATTAAAACGGGACAATCTTCTAAAAACGAGATAAATAGCGTCCCATTCGAAGTTTGTCAGGACAACGGAACGTGATGATCAAAAAAGGGACAATCCTGTTTTAAACGGGACGTCTGGTCACCCTACCGTAGAGGCGGTCTCATGATAAGTATTAACTCGTCATGAAAAATCTTTACACAAGACCGCTGCATCTAGGTACGATATTTCCATGTATAGTACACAAATTGTTTTGGTTTTCACTACGTTTTATATTTTTAACATTTTATAAACAGTTCTTAACTTCCCACGAGGAGTATCAATATTTACCTACGCTCCATTCAATTTCTGATCATGTGTAAATATGAACATGTTATCGTATGTAGCGTATAGCTCTGAATGTGCATTTTATACAAAATCGTATTTTGTCGAGTGTGAACGATTATTGTTGGACTATGACAAAGAATCACGAATAGCGAAAAAACCTACGAAACGTCACAATACGAGCGCGAAAAAAAAAATGGAACACACACAATCATATTTATAGGGAGATTTCGGGGCAATATTCACGATTAAAGTACAACGTTAAATCATACATATCGTCATAACTACACACTTACCATTCATAACCACACATTTTACACAGTTCAATACCGCTTACATTTATTCTATTGTTAAAGTGGGAAATTTGAAAGGCCCACAGTTCAAAACCGCATATATGTGAATGGCAGTTAAGAATTAAACATATTTTATTGTTATTAAAAAAATCGTTTGAGTATTAATTAAAAATAATTCAATATATAATTTAATTGAAATAAATATACATCCTAATGTTTTTAAATAATCAATTAAACTGATTTTATTTTTAATGAAACCATCATAAATATTTAAAATCGATTTTTTTTCTCCCTACATACTTTGCGTGTATGGTTCACGTTTCCGTTTCATAGTCAAAATTTGGTTTCAATAATCCTCTATTGTTTTTTTTACACGTCTATCTGAAAAAAATAAAATAAACAAAATAAATTATTGATAACTCGAGCTATATTTATTATTTTAAATGTTTAAATTCATATTCTTACCGAATGAAATATAGTGGGACGTGGAACGTAAAATGCATGCCTAAGTTGACCATTTTAACTTTTCGGCGCCGTTCGCCGTTCATAGTTTTCTTTCCTATTTTAAGAAAAAAAAAGTTACATCTATGTCAGTTGAAAGGGTCCCGAAGGTTTTGGACTACCCATTATTAAAATTTTCAATTATTTTTTTTTATTTTTTTGCTTGATACTAATTTTTAAAAGACCACTCTCCTGGATCTGACACTAATGACAATGATGTTTTGTTCAACAGTCAAAGGGTAAAAAAAGATAGGATATTTAACATTAATCGATTTTTTTTTTTTTTTATAAAATTGACTACGTTCACTTAACTAACTAAAAATATAATAGCATTTATTGACGATTTGTATTATGCCACGTACTTTTATAAATCTTAATATATTATAGTGATTAAAAAAATACAACCAAAAATTATAAAATAAACATTCATTAAGTAACCTCAAAATTAATATAATGAAAGTGGTAATTAACTAATAAGGCTCGGAAAATATGAGAAAATAGATCAATGATGTATGCAATATTTTTCAATGAAGGGAATTTTGAAAACAAAAATTACTCAACTCAAGTAAGATTAGGTTTGAAAAATAGAAAAGATATTTTGTTAGTTCTTACTTACATTAAGCATAAAAAATAAAATATAGTAGGTGGAAAAAAAAACTAACATTAAAATATAATAATCAAAATAATGGTAACAAAATACAATTTTATTTTGTCCAGCCTAATAATTATAGTCGCTTGGATAAATTATTTTATAATTGTTATAGAATTTCATAATCGGTAAGTTCTTTTTTTGTTGGTATTTGCTGTAGCTGATTTATTATCATTATTATTATCATTTATTATCAGAAAAAATAGACTAATGTTTCGATTTTTGGTAATATCAGTTCAGATATAATCATATATGTATATATCAATGGATTATGGATGTAATTTTAATAATTTGGTAAATATATGATTAATGTTAATATTTTAAACACGAATATCTGTATAGATATTACTATCATTTTAAGATTCTAAGATCGTGGATAAATATAATAACGAATAATAATAAATATGGTGTGAGATTTCAACTCGTTGGCCTCCCCTCTGCGTACGCCACTATACTTGCTCGAGTAACCTTTAAGTATAAATAAAATGCAATATATACATAAGTAATCGAGTGGGACGACAACAATTTGGTAAAAAGTCAATGGTCGAATAATTATTTTGATATTTAATTTAAAAAGGTTTTTTCATAATTATATGTTATAATTATAATTATATGTTACAAATATACTTTGTATCGTGAGTATTTACTCACGATACAAAGTATATTTGTAACATAGGTTTTTATCGTGAAAAATCTATGTAGGTGTATCATACTTCTAATTAATTTAATTAATTTTTGGCTGTATGTAAACTGTGGCAAAAAAAAATTAAAATTTTACAATCTGCGACAAAACTGATACAATACATTATACAAACTGTGGAAATTTATTTTATACACATACCTACTATATATACTATTAATTATATAGTACCTAAATTATATATACCTATCTATGTGTACCTATATACGTATATCGTTTGATTAATTATGAAATGTTGCATCTTGCGTACAAAGTGGTAAGGTAAATCCAAATATATTTTTAAGTTTTAACGAAATATATCAGTAATTTCGGTTCCTTTACTTTTGATAATACTAGTTATACATAAATTGACTTTTTATAGAAAAATTGATAGTGCAGAAGAAGGTTTGTGACAGCGACAAATGAAGGAAAATGGACGAATTTCAAGATATGAAGTTTGATCAAAGTATATTTTAAAAATAAACGAAAAAATGTTTACCCTTAGCCACACGCGATCATTAAGGTTTCTTAAAATAATTTTTAATAATAATAATATTTTTCGATTTTAAAAGTTAGTTTTTATTCTTATACCTAATACTCTAAGATTCTTTAGACTAATAGCTGTCTTTCGTTTGACGCAATTATCAAAACTCATACACATCCATACGTCGGCTATTGTAACATACAAGTATTAACATTAATTTTATAATAATAGTAGTGTTATATTATCAATCGCGTTATTTTATTTATTTTTTTTATTCACTTATTTAACTTTAATAATTGACAGTTCAAAACTATTCCTATAAGTTGATTTTAAAACAATTTGCAGTAACTCTTTTTTTAATGCCGTATTTAGTTGAAACTGATTAAATTCTATAGTTATATTTTACCATAATTGGTTTTCCTCTTTTACTTAAAAGTAATATTGCAATTTTTCAATATTTTAATAATTATTCATCCGTGATTGAGTTCCAAAGATTTTCAAAAGAGTTAACATAATGTTGTATTTTTATAATTTTTAGGTTCAAAATCTAATTTGATTATTAAACAAGAACAAAAAATATCATTAACTATTGGGGGATATTTAGTAATAAAATTAATGTTTCTAAAGTTCATTTTTTTCCATAAGCTTTATTGGTGTACTCAAAACCATTTCGATTTTAAACTGTTGATTTATAACTATATAACTAATTTAACAAAATCAGATTAATTATTAGTCTTTACTGAAAAAAATACGGCCATCATTAAAATGTTGCACAAAATACTCGAGTGCATAATAAAAACGGAATTTTCATAGTATCCATAATTCTACATGATCAAAGTGTAAAAAGTACCTTTTTTTTTTTATTTAAAAATAATATACTTATAATCTATGCAAAAAATATAGTATAATATGTAAGTGTGATAATAATATGACAATGCTGTTTAGAATTAGAATGCTCCCAGCGATACCACCTGACAAGTTAAAGTTAACATTACTATGTTTTTAGCAGATCCCTAGGCTAATTAATTTTTAACCATCTGGGGATGGGAGTGACAGAACATAGAATTTTAACTAATAGGATTTGGTCAGTTCGTTGAGTGTTGGTAGATTCAGGTCTTTGTGGACATTTTTGTTGGTTACATACTAAGAGGCAGAGGTTATTAAGTGGAAACAAATAGATTGAAATGCTTGCAAGATTTTGGTATTTAACAGATGAACCCTAAAATTTGAACAAAGTTTGGAGCCAGAATCGTAGATAATCTATTTGTATATTGTAGGTTTATTAGTTAAGAAGAGTTTTGATTTCAAAAGAAGACTCAGAAGATGCAGTTTACAGTGTTAACTTGTTTTCGCTTTAGTTTTAGATGTGATCACCATATAAGACGTTTATAAAATTTTAACCTTAAGTACTTAATCTCGTTTTTTTGACGATGGATAAAGTACCTAAAATTGTTTAGTGTATTTTTATCAATTTGAATTTGCTTATTTTGCAATGCAGTATCAGTAGAAACCAACTGATTAAATTATTATAGTTAGAACGATAAGCTACTGTTTATGGGCTTTCAATTTCTTTTAACTCTATCATTCATGTTCTAAATACTAGTTGAACAGTCGAAATAGGAATATTACGATGGAATTTATATTAATATGCAAGACTGGGCAAATTAACGATTTTTTTTAACTCGTTAAGTTAAATTTTTTTAAAATAATAAAGTTAGGTTAAATTAAAAGTTAACTTTGAAAAAAAGTAACTTAACATAATTTAAAGTTAAAATTTTCTAATTTGCAAAAATAAAAAATTGCACACATAATATTAATTTTTTTACACTCAAGAAAATTACTGTGGAAATAACATAAAATTATTAACTAGCTATAAAAAAAAACGTAATTTTCTAAAATAAATCTTAGTCCTGAACTCATACTCAAATCAATTTACCCATGTGTTACATCCAAAAATTAAAAAAAAAAAAACCATTTTCTTCCAACTGCTAAGATACCAATATTTTTAATTGATTCACACAAATTTTAAAAATTAAACAGGTAGTATCTACTACCTAAATATATTTTCTATACCGAGTAGACAAAATTCAGCCACCGTGTTGTTCAAAAGACTAGGCTCAGCACAACATGGACAATTATTATCAGTCAAAATATAATTACTTTGTATTATATTTTAAGATAAAATTAAAGAATTTGTTTAACTTTTAATAAATATCTTAAAAAATTATTTTATATAAGCTTTATATTTTTGGTACAACAAATTTAAATACCTATTATAGAATATAAAAATAACTGTACATTTAAAATAGTTAATTATTTTTATAGAAGTTGTCTTTACAAACATATGAATTATTATATTATGCAATTATTTGAAGTTTACCAATTTTATGCTTCCACTGTTTCTAAACATGATAAGTAATAAAAAAGTTGAGTCATGACTGCAGCAATCATTGTTGAAAATCACTACATATCATTTAGGTAACATAAATAAGATAATCAATAATCTCATAAATGTGGCTATATAGCATATATGTGTAATTAGATATGAACGTGATGTGAAAAAAATACATACTAGTTGAATAATGAAATAAAATTGGAAATTATATCACAGTTGTTTTATGATTAATCCCCCATCAACACTCGCTCTCAGGGTATTTACTATTTTCACAGAATATTCTTAGGATTTCCATGGGTTTATAGTGTTTATACAATAACAATGTTATAAGAATATAATGATAAAATATAGCCCATATAATGACTATTAAAGTTATTTTTCATACTATTTTTGTCTAAAGGAAATTCATATTAAAATAGTAAATTATAAATATACTAAAAACCTCATTTAACCCGACACTGGTTTAGCGAGGTAAATAATCTCCCAGTCTATTAATAAATATATGTATCCAATTCATTATCTGCAAAGCGGACTGAGTAGCTCATCAAAATCACACCATTATTCGATAATGACATTTATCTCATTGAAAATAAGTTTAGTTCGTTGTACATACCCGTGTAAAGAAAAATGTATCTGTTTGGAGAATATTTACCCCGCGTAACTGAACGTTTATCTCAAATGACCAAATGTAGAAAAAAATCACAGGACAAGCAACGAGTTAATAATTTGTATTAATCTTTGCACTAAAATTTAGATACTTTTAAATAAAATTAACTTAAAGTCAACACGTTAATCAAAAAAAAAAAAAATAATAACTTATTAAGTTAAAATTTAATTTGTAAAAAAAGTAA